TTTGATTCTTAATATTAACAAGGCGGGATTGAATTGTACCAGCTTCTCGAAGTTTCAGAGGAGCAGCAACCTCCTTTTTAGTCCATTCCATAAATCGATGTTGTGAAGCCAAAATATCCTCTTCAAGAGACTTAATGACAGTCAGCGAATGCATAGGCAAGGAGGGATGAAAGTCCTGGAGTAATTGAGACAATTCCCCAGTGAAGTGAAGGTCATTTGGATTGCGCCGAATCTCCTCCAAAAGCTTCAAGAATTGAACTTTCGAAGAGGAGATAGATATGGATTTTTTCTTGGATACTTTGTACAGGTCCTCCAGCAGTGAATCAATGTCGTTTAAGATTAAAGACGTAGAAGATTCCTGGATTGAAAACAGGAAATGTTGAAAACATGAGTAAAAGCGAACATAATTTACTATGCATTATATATTTTTAGTGTGGAATTGGATGAAAAAAAAGGTGTCAACCCCTGGATTGTACTGCACTTCTCGTCCTTTTACGGAGTACCAAAGAACTGTCTTTAGCAGCTGCACCTGCAAGATTCAATTATTCATATTATTAGTCTATTAAGTAAAAGACCTCGGGTTTTGACCAAATGGGGAAGTCTCAGCTCCAATTATCTTTCCTGACGACATACTAAGATTCCAGACTCCTTCAGCTAGCCCAATCGTTGTAATAAATCATTAACGTAATAGTACAACAAATAAGAAACGTTATAAGAACTCTAGCTTGTGCACAGCTAAACACTACACGCGCAAGGGGTTGATATCAAGCAACCTAAATCAACCTCCCATCATTGTTCAAGTGCTAAAATAAGCATCAAAAGCGATGATTAAACCAACGAGATAAGACTTTCTAGTGAGTTAGGGATAAAGTCACCAGCATCAAAATATTTTTACCAGTGTACAGTCGCTAACACCGCTAACAGCCAACAAAGGGGTGAAAAGTGCACCCAAGTAGCCCAAGTCATGAATAATGATGCCGATGATGCATCTCCCTCTTCTCAAAGGAGGGTGGATTTTTTTTTTTTTTTTTAATAAAAATATAATAGAGGAGCATATATGTATCTTACCAAGATGAAGCTCAGCACTATAAAAAATAGGAGAAACATCAACATGACTTAACATTGCAGCATGGATGGCAGCCCCATAAGCAACAACCTCCTCACTGTTGAAGCTATTTAAGAGCTTCTCCCAAAGGAAAAACTCTTGCAACATCTGCTGCACTTTAGGGATCCTAGTCGAGCCACCAACTAAGATAACATAATGAATGTCTTCCCTTTCCAACTTGGCGCTCCTCAAACACTTCTCAACAAGGCGCATACAATCTTTGATTAGATAATTACTAAGCCTTTCAAAGTTTGCACGAGTGATATTTGTAGAAAAATATTTACCCACACTATGAGAATACAGGTTGATGACAGTCTCTGAACATGTAGAGATACTCCTCTTTGCCCTCTCACAAGAAGCTACCAACCTTCCAAGATGTTCAGGGTTTTCACTGATATGACAAGCCCACGGTTCAAACAGTTGGATAAAGTAGTTCGCCATTTTTTTATCAAAAGCATCTCCACCAAGTTCAGGATCCCAACAAACTGCTTTAAACTCAACTATATCCTCATTAATAGTTAGCAAAGAGACATCAAGGGTCCTACCACCCTGGTTGAAAACCAATACATTATTACCTAAGCAGCTAGAAGCAAGTTGCTCGTGCAAACCATAAGCTATGACGACTGCTGTTGGCTCCTTAATAATATGAACAGATTTGAGCCCGGCCATAATTCCAGCATCTTTTGTTGCCTGCCGCTGGGAATCATTAAAGTAAGCTGGTACAGTAACAACTGCATACTTTACTTCCACACCAAGATAGGCCTCGGCAGTCTCCTTCATTTTCATTAGCACCATAGAACATATCTCTTCAGCAGCAAACTGTTTCTCCTTACCCTGGTACGAAACCACAATTTTAGGCTTATCATTTGCACCAGCAACAACCTTAAATGGCCAACTCTTGATGTCATATTGAGCTGTAACATCACTAAATGTCCTTCCTATAAGCTTGTACACATCTGTAATTTGTTAATATGCACAACACCAAGTATGAGAGAACAAACTGACAAATAGACTTACTCATATGAGCTTCAAATTATTAAAAAAAAAAAAACAGAGAAGAAGGTGGGGGGAGGAGATTCCTATTCTACTATATATTAAACCAAGGGCTTAATTTAGAGACATATATAAACAAACAATCTATGGAAAAAATGAGGTTGTGATTTATAGCCCATATAAGAATAGAAATTGTGGGAATAACGAATTTGTGGTGTCCTTTTAGACAAAGTGATTCATATGATTCTCCATGGTAATGCTTTTCCTACCCAAGCTTCGATTCTTATTGTCACTTACAAACAATTAAAGGTTTGCAATGATTAAAAGTCGATGAAGAAAAAGGCATGATGAGAATGGACATAATTCTTCAAAAAAGCACAAGAGAAAGTAATGGAAGGGCAATAGAACACAAATTAAGTAAAAGCAACTATTTCCACCAAGCATATATTAATCAGTGTAAAGTTGTAAACATATAAGATCATAACATTGAGGTCAACAAGTCTTAGTTGTATTATAATTAAATTTGGCATCTGTGTAACTAGAAAACAAATAAATATCTCAATAGAAGTAGAGAAAGGACCACAAACCAAATATAGTGATTGCAGGGTTTTGACTACTTTGGTTCTTGGCAGCATCACCAATAAGGTGCTCATTATCAGTAAAAGCAACATAAGATAATGTTTTCCGGTTGCCCTGATCGTTGACAATAATCTCAACCTTACCATGCTGCCAAATTGCCACACGTGAGAATCTATCCCCCAAATCAATTCCAATTGCTGGCCAGCCCCAATCACTCTCCATCTTTCTATATAGGTCGATCTCCTAAAAGCTTAACCTAAGATAAACATGGTATAAACAGAATATATAGGCAGACGACGTCACAGAGACTTGTTCAAAGAAAGTAGTGAGTTCTGGAAAACTCTACTAGCACTAAAATGAAAAAAACATGGTATAAATGACTCAAAATGCCTAAATGTAAAACATATGTATGATATGACAGATTATTAGCCCTTAATTACCCAGTTTTGTTCTCCATTTTCATACACCAAACAGATTATTAGCCCTTGATGAAATTATTAGCACTAAATTTGAAGTATTTAAGTTGTGAATTGAAATGGGTAATTTGAGTTCCCTTACCTATTTCTTATTTGAGCATTAATCAAGATTCAAAATTTCGAGCTTATGTTTCCAAAATTAGAAATTTACTTCAAGTTTAATGAGATTTAGAGGAATTAGAATAGAGAGAAAAATGAAACTCTATTTCATTGATTTTCGGAGAATATTGTGAATGAATTACAAGAGAAGCTTTATTACAGCTATATATACAAAATATCCTGTAACAACTTTTCTAACAACTTTCCTAACAGAAAATATCTAGTAACAGAATTCTGTTATGTAAGTCAACAAAGTCAAGTAGCTTCTAGAAACTTTAATACAACTCAGCAGTCTTCAATTGCCTTCTCTGTAGCTTGCTTCATTCAGCTCCTTCATATTCTGTAAGAACAGGATCAACATCATCACTATCAGCATGATCACCAATACCCCCCCCCCCCCCCTCAAGCTGGGCATGGATACTTGAGACATGCCTAGCTTGGCAAGTAGTTTAGACAGCTGTGGAGCAGGAAGAATCTTTGTTAGGATATCAGCTAATTGCCCATCAGTTGGCACATAGGACAATTCAATAAGACCTTCCAGTACTTTATCCCTAGTAAAAGGACAATCAATCTCAATATGATTGGTTCTCTCATGCATAACTGGATTCTTTGCCAAATGAATTGCTGACTGATTATCACAGTTCAGCTTAACTGGAGTGAGATCAGAAACTCCAAGATCAACTAACAATCTCACAAGCCAAACTATCTCAGATGCAGCTGCAGCCATTGCCCTGTATTCTGCTTCAGTAGAGGATTTAGACACAGTTGATTGCTTCTTAGATTTCCACGAAATAAGGTTGTTCCTCAGCATCATCAAGTACCCTGTAACAGATCTTCGACTATCTATGCAAGCAGCCCAGTCAGAGTCTGAATATGCTTGAAGAGTCAGTTGTTTAGCAGCTTGCAAAAACAAATAAACCTTGTCCAATAGTGCCAGCCACATATCTCAACAAATGATGTAAAACTTTTAAATGCTGTAACCTTGGACTTTGCATGAACTGGCTGAGAGTCTGTACAGCATAGGATATATCTGGCCTGGTGTGAGTTAAGAAATTCAATTTCCCAACTATACACCTATAGTGTTCTGGATTCTGATACAACTCCCCTTCAGTTGCTGAAAATTTGACACTTATAGGAAGTGGTGTCTTTGCTGTTCTTGAAATATCCATGTCACAAACTTCAAGTAACTCTTTTGTAAACTTCCTCCGACTAAGTATAATCCCAGATGACAGCCTTGAAACTTCAATTCCAAGAAAGAAACTCAGTTCACCCAAATCCTTTATGCTGAATACATCATGCAAATAACCTTTTAGCTGGAGCAGGACCTCTGAATTTGAACCAGTCAGAATTATGTCATCAACATAAACTGCAGAAATACTTATGTCACCCTTGTCTTTAAGACTAAACAAGGAGTAATCATTTTTGTTCTGAACAAAACCTTGCTTTTGAAGTTCTGCTGTCAGTCTAGCAAACCATTGTTTGCTAGCTTGCTTCAATCCATACAGAGATTTCACTAGCTTACACACTTTATTCTGTGGATTAGGCACACCTTGTGGCATCTTCATATAAACCTCTTCATCAAGAGATACATGTAAGAAGGCATTATTTATGTCCAACTGAAGTAAAGGCCAATTATTTCCAGCAGCAACAGTAAGTAAACACCTAATTGTAGCCATTTTGACTACTGGTGAAAATGTCTCATCATAATCCACCCCATACTTTTGTGTAAAACCCTTTGCAACCAACCTAGCTTTGTATCTTTCCAAGGATCCATCCTTTTTTAGCTTCACCTTAAACACCCATTTACACCCAATGGCCTTTTTGCCTTTAGGTAAACTGGTAACAACCCAAGTATTGTTAGCAGACAGTGCTTCTAACTCTTTGTTCATTGCTTTTATCCACTCAGGATGCTGTGCAGCTTCAAAATAAGTTGCTGGTTCTGTGATATTTGAGACTTGAGCAATAAAATCCTTCAAGGGAACTGGAAACTCCTCATAAGTCACTATATTGCACCAATGAGAGATAGCAGACTCAACTGCACAAACATAATCTATCATCCAAGCTGGTTTTCTGTGAGGACTAGATGATTGTCTATCTGGTAATGGTTGTGTTATCTGGTAATCTATGGACTAGGTGTGTTTTGGGCAATAATAGGCTGAGGTGGGACAGTTTGTTCTGGGAACAGGACAAAAAATTCAGGTATATCAGGGTCAAAATCAAAAACAAAAGCTGTTTGAGATGGAAGAAAAATAGAGTCTGGTTTGTGTGGTGGGAAAGAAACATGAAATGGAAAGTGCCTTTCATGGAAGGTGATATCTCTAGAGACAAAATTTTTATTAGTTTCTAGGTTTAAGAGTTTGTAGGCTTTTTGACCTGTTGGATAGCCAAGCATAACACAGGGTGTTGACCTTGAATCAAACTTGGATCTGTTATTCTTCAAAGTTGCAGCATAACACAGACATCCAAACACTCTCAAGTGTTCAATATTGGTTAGAACACCATGAACCTTTTCATAAGGTAAGACAAAACCCAAGCAAGACAAGGGCATTCTGTTAATCAAATGTGTAGCAGTAAGTAGACATTCTCCCCAATACTTCACATGAACTTTAGACTGAAAGAACAAAGCCCTTGCTGTCTCTAACAGGTGTCTATGTTTCCTTTCTACAACCCTATTCTGTTGTGGGGTGTCTACACAACTTTTCTGATGAAAAATCCCAAATCTCTCATAGACAGTAAGCATTCTGCCTTCACATAACTCTTTGGCATTATCAGTTCTTATGCTCGATCTTAACATGTATACCAAACTGAGTGTGAATAAAAGTAATAAAAAAACTCCAAAATATCAACACAATCAGATTTATTCCACATAAGAAATGTCCAAGTATGCCTTGACATATCATCAACTGCAGTTAAAAAATAAGAACAGTCATCATGTGTTCTTATTTTGTATGGACCCCAAGTGTCTACATGTAAAAGATCAAAGCAACTTGCACTCTTGACATTGTCTTTAGGAAAAGATTTCCTAACTTGCCTAGCTTTTGGACATATTTGACAGATGCTGTCATTACAACAATTACCAGAAAACTTTGAATCTATATGACTCAACTTATTAAAAGGTAAATGTCCTAATATTAAGTGCATCAGATTTGCTTCATCTGCAACAACCACATTTATTGAAGAAACACACCCATCACTCTTCTTCAAATCTCCATTTGTAACTGCATATAGTCCAGATTCCAAATTACCAAGAACCAGAGAAGTTCTCTGGGAGTGATCCTGGATCAAGCACTTATCATGTGTAAACACAATGTCACATCCCATATCCTTACATATTCTATGAGTAGAAATCAAATTAAAATGCAAGTCAGGAACATGCAAAAAACATTCTTGAGCATAATCCCATTCTCAAACTTCACTGTGCCTATATGCTTTACTTCTACAGATTTTCCATTGGCCACAGTTATAGAACTAGGATATTTATCAAACAGATTATATGCATCAAACAAATTCAGATTTGAACATATATGATCAGTTGCTCCACTATCTATAATCCATTTTGAATCAAGACAAGTAATTAAGGAATCACCTGCCATGTTTGCCATCCCATTGAACTACTTAGAGCTGTCATGTTTATCTTGCTGAATTAGACTGACCAGCTTCTCATACTGCTCCTTTGTGAAATGATTGGTATAGTCATCATCATCAGAACCTTCACAGCAAGAAACAGCAGCCACTCTCTTCCCTTTGTTCTTGTTATACCCCCCTTTAGCAGGATAACCATGCAATTTCCAGCACTTATCAACAGTATGATTATTCAGCTTACAGTGTTCACAGAACAACGGTGATCTTGCAGGAAAACTCCTATTATATCCTCCTCTTCTTTCTTCTGCAGCTGCAAAAGCCATACTAGACTGTTTATGAACAACATCTGTGATTTGTTTTTGCTTTTCATCCTGAATTAACATATTGTAAGCAACAGACATTGCAGGCAAAGGATTCATCATCAGAATATTAGTTCTGACCCCTGCATGTTTAGCATCAAGTTTCATCAAGAATTGAATTAGTCTTTCATCTTGCTGAGTCTTCAGAAACTTCTGTGTCAAGTTACAACTGCATCTATTACAATTGCAAGTAGGAATTGGATTTGCTGCACTGATTTGATCCCAAATTCCTTTAATTCTAGTAAAGAATTTAGCAATTGTAGTTGTTCCTTGTTCCAATTGACTCAAAGTTTGTTGTAATGAGTATATCTGAGGTCCAGAGGTCCAGAGATCACTGAATATCTATCTTCTAGATCTTTCCATATCTCAGAAGCAGTGGAAAAGAAAATCACACTCTTAGCTAGTGTGTTATCCAAAGATCTCAGAATATAAGAAATTATCATATTGTTGCATCTATTCCAAGCATTCAACAATGGATCTGAATCTCCTGGTCTTGGCAGACTTCCATCAATGAAAGGCATCTTGTTTTTCATTGAAAAGGCTAGAATCATACCTCTTTTCCAGTCTCGATAATTGTCTCCATTGAATTTCTCTAAAACAAGTGAAACGGTCGGATTTTCACTTGGATGTATGTAATAAACTGATCCTGGATCTTGAGTTGGATTCTGAATGTTTGTATCTTGTGCAGCCATTGAATCAAGATTTTGCTCGAAAAATTCGATTATAGCAACAAATTTGTGCTTGAAAAAATGATCTAAAATCGAGAATTTGATCAAAAATTGTCCAGAAATTCTGGGGAAAAACTGATGAATTGATACTGTAATAAGTATCCTTTACTGTGATTCAATCAAAACTTGCGGAAAAATTTCAGATTATTAGCAGAAAACCTGCTCTGATACCATAATGAGATTTAGAGGAATTAGAATAAAGAGAAAAATGAAACTCTATTTCATTGATTTTCGGAGAATATTGTGAATGAATTACAAGAGAAGCTTTATTATAGCTATATATACAAAATATCCTGTAACAACTTTTCTAACAACTTTCCTAACAGAAAATATCTAGTAACAGAATTCTGTTATGTAAGTCAACAAAGTCAAGTAGCTTCTAGAAACTTTAATACAGCTCAGCAGTCTTCAATTGCCTTCTCTATAGCTTGCTTCATTCAGCTCCTTCATATTAAGAACAGGATCAACATCATCACTATCAGCATGATCACCAATAAAGTTTAATCAAGAGTACAACGCATAAACAAGAGTAAAAAATTAATTAACCCCAGCACATCAAAGCAATATCTAACAAAAGTATAAAGCTTTACACTTTGTTTGGATAGGAAGAAATGGAAGGAAAAGAAGAGAAGAGAAATGAAGGGGGACAAAATCTCTTGTTTGGGTAAAAGATTGGGAGAAAGAAGGGGAAGGAGAGGGAGGGATCCATTTCCCCTCTCTCTTTAATAACCATAATCTCTCTAAAATTGGAGAGATTTGGAGGGAAAATGGAGCTCACCCCTCCCTTTCTTTTCCCTTCCCTTTCTCCGTTTTCCCTCCCCTTCTTTTCCTTCCTTCTTTGCTATCCAAACAAAGCGTTAAAAAAAAAAAAAGGAACTTTGCTTAATCTAGTCTAAACAAGAGTAAAATAAACGCTAAGAGTTAAGATACGGAGTATATGAATAATTTACAAGAATTGATTAAAAAAAAAAGTTATAAATTTTTTTACCTGAAGACGAGCAGAACTGCAATTCTGCTAAAGTTGTTGAATCTAAAATTTGAAAAGGTTTTGGCAGTGTGTGACACAAGAGCTTTTATATTTATGCCTCTGTTCTTACGCTTCCTGACTTTCCATTTTTCAAATCTTTAAATTTTTTAGCTGTCACGTCACCAATGCTTGTTGATGAGAATGATCATAATCCATAGGCTTTGCTTTTAGTGTCGTTTAAAATCAATTTTTTTTTTAAAGTATTAATTGCAACAATTTGACTAATTATTACGAGTTTACGGAGTATTGCGTTACCGTATTAGTGTCTATATACTACGGAGTAATATACATTCTCATGTTTTTTGTTTTTTTTGGACTTTTTGCAATGCAAATGAATTGTTTTGTAAAATTATTTTTAGCCGCTAAATAAACATTATTCCTACTTTAATTTAACCATTAAAAGAGCCAATGTACAATGTAGTAAGACGAATAACAATGTTTAAAGTCCAAAGGTGTATTCAATCTTCTATAACTACAAGTCCACAACTAAAGTATAAACTACTTACATCATATGGTAGAGTTTTATTTATTTAATTTTTTTTAAAAGGCAGGTAGTTTTTTTTTGAGGAAAAAATAAGAGGGGTATTTTGGGAAAAGAAATTTATCACCCGAAACCCCTTTCACTTTATACAAGTATATAGAACTGGCAAAAGCTAACAAACGCCTCCGGGGCGTTGGATAAGCTATCTAAAAGTATAAAGATTAAATTAAAATTAATATTAATCACACCGATTAACGCGTGATTTTGTTATGCTTTTCCAAATTAATACTACTTTTGGTAACATTTTAAATGCTTATCCAACGCACCGCAAGCGTTCGTTAACAAGATCCTATAAATTTTTTATTCAACTTATGGATTGAAAGATAAAAGATGAATTATTTTTATTTTTTTTTATGTATTGGGATTATACGTAATAAATAAAACTACTATAGTTGTGACATACGGAGTAACAATTTTCATGCTATGCTCAATTTTTTTTTTTTTTTTTTTTTTTTTTTTTTTTTTTTTTTTTTTTTTTTTTTTAAGAAATGCTCATAATCTAATTGAAATTTTTCGGATTTAATTTGGCCTGCTTTGATGATTTTCAAACTTAACTAATTTTTTATTTTATTTGTACACTTATTATTAAGAATGAAATCTTTACAAGAGATGGACTATATAAAAAATTAAAAATCACTCATAATGTATAAATATAACCATATTACCCTACATAAAGTTTATTCTATAAATTTGCCAAAAAAAAAGTTTATTCTATAAAATCACCTTCTAATTTATGACTAGTGTGTATCCTGGGCGATGCCCCGAGTTTCTAATTTGTGTATTTCTTGCTTTAATTTAACAATTATGTTGGACTATTTGTGTAGCTAGTGTGTGTAGTGGCTTGGACATTGCCTTGGATGTCACTTTTTTTTTTTTTTACATCATATCTTGAAAGCACTTCGTCATTGCAACAATCACCACCAAAATTAAGTAAGTGTTTAAATTCTAACGGAGCTTAATACAGTTTGCAACTAGATCATGGCAACATTTACCACCAAAATAAAGCACCTTCATCTATCCCAAAAAGTAATAAGGAAAAAAAAAAAAAAAACTCCTGCTAAAAATACCCTTCAAAACATACTAGAGCACCTTCATCTATCTCAATTCTCAAACCAAAAAACTTCATAACCCTCCAGACTCTAGTCCATCGACCCACTAAATTACTTCCTGGCTAGAGTTCACTCGGAATTATTGGAACAAACAGTGTCATTGTCAGGTTTAGATGCTTAATTATTGGTTCACAGATGACTTGAAGCTCTTTCATCTTTTCTTCAAACTTGGAAGCTTCAGCCAGCTGATAATTCCAATCTAGCCACTGCACTGTCTTCTCAATGGCATTCTTCATCCTCATCTTATCATCGACACTAATCTTCTCCGCGTAATCTTTCAATGTCTCCCACATTTTGTTAGCATAGTTCTCCAAAGCAATCTTAGCTTTCACCTTGTTTAAATATTTTTTATCCTCAGTCCTGTACTTTTCAGCCTCTTTCAACAATCTATCAATCTCCTCCTCTGATAACCTACTCCGATTAGTAATTGTGATATGGTTCTTGTTTCCGGTATTAATGTCCTCTGCGGAAGCAGTAAGAATCCCATCAGCATCGATCTCAAACCATACATCAAACTTTGCGACACCAGCAGGTGCTGCAGGAATGTCTGATAGTTTAAATTTGCCTAGAAAGTTGTTGTCTATAGCAACTGGTCTCTCACCTTCATATACTGAGAATGGTACAACTGTCTGATAATCAGAGGCAGTATAAACCCTGCCAACCTTCTTTGTTGGGATAATAGTGTTACGAGGGACAACAATTTTCATGCCACCACCATAGACCTCAATACCAAGCGATAAAGGTGCAACATCAACAAGCACCATATCATTCTTAGTAATCACACCAGCCAAGACAGAAGCATAGACTGCGGCTCCATAGGCAACTGCCTCATCTGGGTTGATGCTTCTACAAAGCTCCTTTCCATTGAGAAACTCTTGTAAAAGCCTTCTTTCTACTCAATCGAAACTTTAATCGAAAGTAGACTCAAGTTCCGAACTCCATATGGGGAAGGAACGTTGTTGTTTGCGGGGTCTCGATCATTTACATGGACCCACTTTTCATTCCATTTGTGGGAATTTGATGATCTATAAACCGTCCTTAACGAACGATCGGCTCATCTTTGAGCATGATGAATCACTTCGTGCCGACCTGTTGTCAATAAACTTTTGGGCCCTCTTCAATCGAAGCTTCCGGCTTGATTCCTTTTCGCGAGTTTTCGCTAGGAATCATCATGTCGATTGCTTTCGTTGGAGAAATCGGTGGCGTGGTTACCTTACGGTTCCCTCGGCTTTCAAAAATGCGTTTTGGATTCGTGGGATGGAAAGGATTTTCCATTTGAGTTCTTCACACCTTCACTCTTCTCCATCTTAGCATCCTTCAAGCACTGATCTACTGGATCGATACACTTCCTAAATAAATCAATATTTAACTTCTCAAATCGAGCACGGGTGAAATCAATGCCCTTGTAAAGGCAATCAATCTCAACGGTAGTTTCATGAGCAGATGAAAGGGTTCTTTTGGCTCTCTCAGCAGCTGCTCTCAACCTACCAATGTCTACATTGTGTTGCCTTTTGAAGTCCTCCACAAAGTAACTCACCATGTTATTGTCAAAGTCTCCACCACCAAGATGTGTGTCTCCACTTACTGCTTTAACTTCAAACACACCCTTTTCCAAACATACTAAAGATACATCAAATGTCCCACCACCAAGATCAAATACTAGTATATGCTTTTTGCCAATGTCATTCTCATTAAGCTTCTTGTCAAGACCATAGGCAATAGCAGCTGCAGTTGGCTCATTGATAATACGGATAACATTTAGTCCAGCAATGACTCCTGCATCTTTTGTAGCCTTACGCTGAGAATCATTGAAGTAGGCTGTTGAACCAAGATAGGCCTCTGCTATCTCTTTCATCTCGACAAGGACCATTGAAGATATCTCCTCGCCCTTGTAAGTCACCACTATCAGTGGCTCCTTGTATTCACATGAATCAGGTGGGGCAATGACTTTAAATGGCCAAAGCTTAATGTCATTTTGCACTGTTTCATCACTGCGTATAAGTCTCTTGGCATCTGAGTGTTAACAATATCCGGAGCATTAAAATTTTAAATATAGAAAGCAATAGGTACAGAATAAACAGGAAGAATTCCACAAAAAATTATACTAAGTCTCAGTACTAGAATTGCTCTTCAAGCAAGCTCATATGGTAAATTTCTTTCAAGTTTCCAAATAGCTACACACCAGTTGACATTTCTTTATCATTTTTGCCCGGATAGTAACTTATGTCACAGTATGCAGATCTTACTAAGTAGAGCTTTCCTATAATATCCCGTGGCTTACATCTCTCTATAAGCTTATAATCAAATCACAACATTTTAGAAAGAGTCAAAAGTTACTAATGAAAATATTATAACAAATTAACAATCCATATCCTATGTTAACAAGGGAATGGAATTAGAATCACAACCAAATACTAAAATATTATAATATATGTACTTATTAATACTCGAAAAGAATAATAAAATTGTAAAAATTAACAGATTAACAACAGAACGAAGATTATACCAAAGATAGTGTTAGAAGGATTGGCAGTAACTTGGTTTTTGTCAGCTTCTCCGATAAGTCGTTGAGTAGGAGTGAAGGCAACCCAAGACGGCGTCGTTCTGTTACCTTGATCATTTGTGATGATCTCAACACGGCCGTGTTGCCAAACTCCCACGCAAGAGTAGGTTGTCCCGAGATCGATTCCTATTGCCGGCCCTTCTTCGTTGTTTCCCTCTGTTGAATTTTCCATTTTGGAAGGGCTTTGTGAAAATTGGAGAGAAAAATTGAAGACGAAGATGGATGGGTGATTAGTATTTTTGGGATATATCTATCTTCTATGGAGTATTTCTCTATACAAAATTGGAGATAGATTTTTTTGGAGGGAATTTTCCCTCCTAAATTTTATTTATTTATTTAAAGTAATTTGTTATATCGGTGGGATCTTAAGCTCAATTTTTTAAGAAGCCAAAAAATAGTGTATTGGAAAGTAATTTATAAGGGTCTGCTCTCTTACGTTGAAGTTCAGTTCAGCTCAGCTTCTAATTTCCTTCTCTTATAAAATATTCATTTCAGCTCAACTCAGTTCAGTTCAGCTCAGTTCAGTCAATGAAAACAGGCCCTAACTCTAATTTAACTTGGCCAATTACAATGAAGAACCACAAATAAATTTCCCTCAATTTCTCAAAATCCCTAATATTTGTTTCAACAAAGAACCCTTATTTTGTAATTATTAAACCCTAGAATCAGAATTGAAAATTGAATATCAATTTACAAGCATTACATGTTAATTAAAATCCAATTACTTTCCCCTTCTTTAATCAGTGAAATTTTGAAATTTTGTGTTTTTAGGTTAAGTCTTATCAATTCGGAGTATTAATTATAATATGCGAGTAAACCTACCAATTTTCAACCTGACCAGCAAACCCTATCCGAACCCGACCCAATTTGTCGGTCTTGAGCAAAAAAATTTGACCCGTAATTCGATTTAACTCGTAAATTTGAGCGTCGAATCCAACCTGAATAAAAACCCAACCCGCTTTAATGGTTTATTTTTTAAAATACATTTATTTGAAAATTAATATTTAGTTTATTGATTGAGTTTGATTATGTATATACCCTAGCCTATTACCCTCCGACATTCATTTTTCTATCTTATATAACTGTTGATCAAATCCACACCAACAATCTCCTACACCAACTATCAAGCAAGCCCCAATTTATAACTTAGATAAACAAATTACGTTTATCAAATGCCATTTTTGTAAATAAGTTGGATTGCAAATTGTGTTTTTTTTTATATTAAAAATTATATATTTTTGTTGTTCGTGGACCACTATGACAAGTTGGAAAGATTTTAAGTTAACACCGTTAACTCTCCATTTGCTACTATTCATCATCTTCTTCCTCCTACCTTCTTGTTCTTTATGTTCATCTTCTTCCTCTTGTTCATATTTTTTCTTCCCACCCACCTTAATCTTCTTCCTCCAAATCTCTACCCACTTTCACTACCTTCTCTTTCAAGTCCGTTCAACTCCATTTCCTCCATCGGCGGCTTTGCCAGTGAAATTAAACAAAAACCATAATAACAAAAAGACGAATAAATTAATAGTATGGTTAACCCTAAAGGGTAGACTTCGCACCAACTGCCGAAATTAAATGAAAACCCAAATAATAAAGTGAGAAGAACGGGCATGACTAACCCTAAAGGGTAGATTTTCTTCCTCCACTGATTTCGACTTGCTCGACGTCATATAATGAAAAGGTGTACTTTCCACCATTGAAATTGAAGGTTGAAGGAGGAGAGAGAAAATCAGAAAATACCCAAATAGAGGTGATAATGAGACTGAGTTATTCGTGAACTATTCGAGCTCGATTCGTGGTGGCTCGGCTCGGGTTTGAGTTCAGCTCGAGACCTTAACGAGCCAAGCTGAGTTATGCCAAGCTCGGCTCAATAAGTTCGTGAACAAGCTCGATTATTTTTTTTCTATATAAAAAAATCATGTATATAAATATAAATATATTTATTAATAGATACTACACTATAATAAGAGTATATATATTTTCATTATTAAAAAAATAAACTCATTGTAGAATAAAAAATTTAATAATGAATGATAAAGAATGAAGACAAGTAAACTAGGGATAAGAATAAATCAAGGTTGTTCGTGAACAGTTCGAGTTCGGCTTGATCAACGCTTAGTCAAAGCTCGACTCATAAAGCTAAGGTTCAAACTCGGTTCAAGTTCGAACAAATTTAAACGAACATGAGCCAAGCTGACCATAGTTCGGGCTCAGCTCGCTCAATTAGCACCCCTATACCCAAAGGTTGAAAAAGGAGAGTAAAACAATGATTAACCAAAGTTAGATGAAATTCGGATTAAAACCGAACCGAACCGAAAACCAAACCGAATTAGTAATTTAGTTTGGATTTTTTTAGAATTCGGATTGGATCGGTTTGAAAAAATTAAAAAATATGAATTACTAATTGGATTCGGTTTGGGGTTTAAACAACCGAAAACCGAATTACAAACCGAATTTCGACCCATTACGTTAAGCCCATTTTTTTTCAAAGTATCCAACCACTTTCCCCTTTCATATATAAACTTTTTTTTTTTAAAAAAAAAACCTAATTTTCAATTCTCCTTTATCAATATCTTACTCTCTCAGAAAGAATGTTGTTAACAAGAAATGATTGTAGGAATTTTCTGGGTGAAGTTCGGGTTTCGGATTTGAATGTTGCAAAAGAAGGGAACAAATTTCAGTTTGGGTTGGATTCTAATTTGAAAAACCGAATTAATTATGTTTGGTTTGGATTTGATTGAATCTTAAATCGGTTTGGATTCGGATTGAGATTTTCGAAACCGAATTAATTCGGATTGGATTCGATTTTGGCTGTAATCCAAACCGCAAACCGAACTTTCACCTTTACCCTTGATAACACAAGAAGGTTATAATTTAAACTTGTATTGTCTCCCAACTATCGACCCACGTCAATTGCATATGAATAACTTAGCTTACATCACTGTCATGCCATGTTGGTCTGACCTCTTTCTTTAATTTTATAATGTTTTAAAATTTTTTTTTAATTTTATTCTCATTTTTCTTAGTTAGAAAATTGTGCTTTCATGACAATTTAAATTAAGTAGTAGGCATGTAATGGCTAAAAATAATATTGGTGAGAATTATCAACAAAAATTGAAAAAAGCAGAAAAGTAAGCTTGAAAAATCATAAATTTTTAGAAATTAGCCAAAGAAAAATTAATAAAAAATTGTTCAAAACTCGTTGGGTTGACCCGAACCAAAGACTTTGGGTTATGGTCGGATTCAGGTTGAGCATTTCTCGACCTGTGACCCGACCGAAATGACTTTGTGACCTAAAGTGATCTGACCTGACCAACCTGATTGAAAGGTCTATATACGAGGGTTAGGCTTAACTGCTTAAGTTAGGAAGTAAAAATAAAAAGAAGGTCCCACTCACCTGATTTTATTACCAGAAACCAAAATGAGTAGTGGTTTTTTTTTTTTTTTTTTTTAAAAATATATTCAGGGGTAGTTTTTTTTATAAAACTTTGAAATGAGTAGTTGTTGACAAAATGACCTATCAATCGGGTAATCCGTGACATTTTATTATTTTTATTTTTGGTGTAGATATGACGATAAAGAGGATACGACATAGAAAATACTTTGTAATTTGTAATGTCTAGCTAGTTATTGTCCCCGACGATGCTGCGGATCCGAATCAATTGAATGTGCAATGTGCCAACTAAAAATATTACCTTCAATGTAAGAGATAAGAATAATGGAAATTACTACCTTCATAGTTTAAATGGAAAATGTAATTATAAGCACTAACTCATAAGAATAAGAATCAAAATTGTATTACCTGTATATCATGAATGAGAATTGTACTTCGTATATTATAGGCACATACATACTAAAAACCCAAGTCAATACGTACAAAAGATAGAGAAAAAAAAGTATCAAATAAATTTTTTGACATACAATGTTTTTTTTTTTTTTTTTTTTTGACGGGAGACATACTATGTTTTTAAATGGACGTATATATGAGTTAGAGAAACAAAAGAATAAGATTAATAACAGGTAAATTTATTTTATTCATTTACCTTACAGCTCAAATAATAAATGATGAAACATTACTATGTAAAATTGTTTGATGTTATTCAATCTAGCACATAAGTATCCAATGAATCACCATTATTGCAATTAATTATTACTTGCTAATTAATTAATTAGATTTTTGTTATTGTGCAATTACTAAGGAGATAAGAAGAAAAAAAAATATTAAATAGGGAGGCTATATAAATATGAAGAGTTTTCTATTAAACTAAATATTATTATAGAGAGGTTACGCATATGATTAGTTTTTAGGTAGGTTAAGTATTATTAACCTCCATGTCACGCCTTAGATTTTTATAAGATAGCTCAATGTGCACTATGTCATGCTGACATAAGGATGTCACGTGTCATATTATCATGTAATCCATGTATTTTAATAATATTATATTTTCTCCGTTTTTTTAAACTTGCACCACTTGTCTTTTAAAGAATTTTCACAAATACTGCACCATTTCCATTTTAGGAAAAGAAATATTTGTGTTCGCACTATAAATAGCTAATATACCCTTACTTTCAACACTTACTTTTTATCATGTACTCCCTTCGTCCCCGAAAGAACGACCCATTTGGGTTGATTTAGCGGGTATTAAGAAAGTTAAATAAAAAGAAGTAAAAGTATATTGAAAAGATAAATTTACATGGGGTTTGTAAAAAAGTAGAGAGAGAAAGTAATAAAAGTACATATGGAAACAAAATTTTATATGGGGAAGCTAATTTTGCACAAATATTACACAAACTTTAAAAAAATCGGGTGTACAATAATTATTGTACATCCACTATAAAGATAGACTAGATTGATTAAAAGTTACCCTAATATGCATAAAAGTAAGGAAAATTTGCAAATTACCACCCAAAAATAGTATCAATTTCTAAATAACCACCCATTAAAAAATTTATTTTAAATTACCACCTTTTTTCAAAATCCGGTGGAATTCAGATGAGTAGGGCCCTCCTAACGACTACTAACGGCTAGTTTCTCCTTCCCAATTGAATTTCCCCCCGATTTTCCCCCTATATAACATTTCTCCTAACCTAATTTGCGATTTAGACTTCAAAATTTCCCCAAATTCCTCAAATTTCAGCCCCTTGTAATTGCTGTAACATCTTGAAGAAATATTTTAGTGGGTGGTAATTTAAAATAAAATTTTAAATGGGTGGTTATTTAGAAATTGATACTATTTTTGGGTGGTAATTTGCAAATTTTTCTAAAAGTGATCCAATACAAATAAAAATTATTAGTAAAGAATCACATTTTAAATAACTAAAAATCAATTATTAGTGATTAAATGTAATTAAATTACCATTATAAAACTTTTCTTATTGTCTATTTATATAAAAATTGTATTATGTTAAAAGTTACCCAAAAAAGACAAAAAGTTACCCTAAAATTAGGTAAAAGTTACCCTTATACTGCTCGATGTACAGTAAAATTAGTGTAAACCGGGTGTATACAAAAGTTTTTGCAAATTGGTGGGGATTTTAATGCAAATGAGTCATTCTTTTTGGAACTAATTAGGCTAAATGGGTCGTTCTTTCGAGGACGGAGGTAGTACATACAATCACATAGACAACTTTGTATTTCTACCTTTCTCTCTCATCCTTTTTTCTACTACCAAAAAATTTGTGCCGAACTCTTATGGTGCAATAATAAAAGAACGGGGGAAGTTAATTGTTTTTGTAAAAAACAATGAAGTACTAATATTATAGATTTTAAATCTTGGATATCACCGTCAAGACTTTAATAGTACTAATACAAGTAATAATGAAGTACGACTGTACGAGTAAAATATGAAGTACGATTAAAAAAAAAAAAAAAAAAAGTAGAGTGAGGCACAAACCAAAGATAGTGTTGGTGCCCTTGGTGGGATTGACAAGAATGACAACCACTTGATTTTTGCACCATCACCAAAAGACGCTCATTTTGACTAAAGGCAACCCAAGACGGTGTCGTTCTGTTACCTTGATCGTTGGTCGACACACGAGTAAGTCGTTTCGAGATCGATTCCAAATGCCAGACTTTGTACTTCTTCTTTACTCATTACCATCTTTTAACACAACAACAAATGACAGAAAATACTTGTTTTGTCTGCATACTTATGATCAGCTCTGGTTTCTTTCCTTTGCTGCCTTATTTTGTACATTGACTTTTCCACTTCCAAGTTAATGTTCTAGTCAATGTTACTAGTATTTTTTTTATCCCTTCAATTTGTACCTTCTTCTGATGGAAGAATTGGATTTGGAACTTTTTAGTGCATATTTGCCCTCAAGTTGCACAACATCGGGTATGAACAAATGTAAACTCGGTAACACCAAACTACTTATGAAACGGCTACAAGCTCATTTGACATAATGAGAATTCGAGTTGCAAAAATAAAGAGCATACACGGCTACACGGTTCATTTGATACTTGGTGATAAAAGGAGGTAATTGAAAATATCGAACTGAATTTGTGTGTACAAAGATCCATGATAATGCTTTATTCATCTCAAGTATCTCAGTTTCTTTATAAATCTCTATTACTAATAATACTATCCATTTATCCAATACCATATGAACATAAGTTTGGGAATGAGATGACATTCCTACGAACAATATACTCGTAATATTACTTTCCAAATTACACCAAAATTCATTCCCAAAACTAGTCTCATTAATTTACTACTAGGAATTATCACTTTTACACTAAAAATAAAGGCAGCACTTACAAATTCTTTAGATAATTGGCAATGCTATCGAGTGCAGCCTCTACTGAAATCCAAGCCTGAGCCTTAAAATTGCTGACCTCTCGAAGTTGAACCAACTGGGCAGACTTCTGCCTGGCAACATCGACTTGAGGGCTTATGGAGCGAGTCAGCCTATCAAGGTCTTGATCAGCCAAGCTGAGATCTCTTTGAAATTGAGATTTGCGACACTTTAACTTGACTATTTCCTTTTCTGTTTCAGCTATTTTTAATCTGAGCTGATCTCGAGAAGATGTCTTCTGTGATAAGTTAGTCTTAATCCTAGTAAGTTGGGATTGAATTGTGCCAGCTTCTTCAAGTTTCAGAGGAGCGGCAACTTCCTTTTTACTCCATTCCATGAATTGATGCTGTGAAGCCAAAAGATCCTCTTCAAGAGACTTTATAACAGTAAGCGAATTCATAGGCAGGGAGGGGTGAAAGTCCTTGAGTAATTGAGACATTTTCTTCGTTAATTGAAGGTCATTTGGATTGCACCTAATTTCCTCCAAAAGCTTAAAGAATCGAGTTTTCGCAGAGGACAAAGATATGGTTTTTTTCTTGGATACCTTGGACAGGTCCTCCAGCAGTGAATCAATGTCCTGTAAGAATGCAGCCGAAGAAGATTCCTGAACTGAAAACAGGAATTATTGAAAACATAAGTAAATGTAAAACAAATTTAACAGAAATTTTAGTGTAGGGTTATATATATATATATATATATATATATATATATATATATATATATATATATATATAGTAGTATGTACCAAGTATATAAAAAAAAATGTACGAAGTACAAAAGAAAAGGTGTCAACCCCTGGATTGCAATGCACTTCTTGTTCTTTTACAAGGAATCAAAAATCTTTCTTCAACAGCTGCACCTACACAATTCAATTTTTAAGCTATTAGTATATTATGTAAGAGACCTCATATTTTGACCAAATAGAAAACTTCCAATTCCTGATATAATAAGTTTTCGACCTCCTTTATCTGGAGTAAATTGGACCAATAACAAACTAACAGAATAATAGTAGTGACAATAATAAGGAGGTTGATACTGAGCAACCTAAATAAAACTCCAACCATTGTTCAAATGCTAAACCAAGCATTAGAAGAGATGGTCAAAATTAACATGGTAAGTTTTTCTAGTGCTAATGAGGGGGAGCAAAAGTCGCTAGCAATCAAAATGGTTTCACCAATGCAAATTTGAGAACAGCTAACAAAGGGGCACTACTGGTCCACTAAACCAGCAACGAATAATAATGAAGCACATATATATATTTTAGTATTCTTACCAAGATGAAGCTCCTTTTCAGTACGAGGACAAATAGGAGAGTTATCAATAACACGACTTAACATGGCAGCATGGATGGCAGCCCCATAAGCAACAACTTCTTCAGTGTTGATGCTATTGCAGAAAACCTTTCCATGGAAAAACTCTTGCAACATCTGCTGCACCTTTGGGATCCTGGTTGACCCACCATCTAGGACAACATAATGAACGTCTCTCCTTTCCATTTTGGCGTCTACCAAACACTTCTCAATAAGGCACATACACTCTTTGAATAAACCTTCATTGAGACGTTCAAATCTTGCACGAGTGAGATTTGAAGAGAAATGACGATACTGATCATCACAATACAGATCAATAGCAGCCTTAGCACGTGTAGAAAGAGTCCTCTTCACCCACTCACAATAAGCTACCAGCCTTCCATAATGCTCAGCATTTACACTGATGTCATATTCAAACACTTTGATAAGGTAGTTTGCCATATTTCTATCAAAAGCATCTCCCCCAAGTTGGGAGTTCCAATTAACTGCTCTAAACTCAACTATATTCTTATTAATAGTTAGCAAAGAGACGTCTAGGGTCCTACTTCCCATGTTGAAAACTAGAACATTGTTACCCAAACAGCAAGTAGCAATTTTCTTGTGCAAACCATAAGCTAAGGTGACTGCTGTTGGCTCATTAATAATATGAACAAATTTGAGCCCGGCCATTATTCCAGCATCTTTTGTTGCCTGCCTCTGGGAATCATCGAAGTAAGCTGGTACAGTAATAACTGCATACTTCACTTTCACACCAAGATAGGCCTCAGCAGTCTCCTTCAACTTTATTAGTATCATAGAGCATATCTCCTCAGCAGCAAACTGCTTCTCCTCGCCCTTGAACGAAACCACAATTTTAGGCTTATCATTTGCACCAGCAATTACCTTAAATGGCCAACTCTTGATGTCATATTGAACTGTTACATCACTAAATGTCCTTCCTATAAGCTTATTTGCATCTGTAATTTTTTAATATGCACAACACCAAGTATGAGAGAACAAATTGACGTATAGACTTACTCATATGAGCTTCAAAATTATTATTTATGGCAAAACTGAAGTTGTGATTTACAGCCCATATCATAAGAGATTAGAAATTGTGGGAATAACGAATTTGTAGTGTCTTTTAAGACAAAGTGATCCATATAAATCTCCATGGTAATGCATTTTCAACCCCAAATATGTGTAATGTGTACAGCGTCCTTGATTCTTATTGCCACTTATAAACAGTTAAAGGTTTGCAAATGATCATGGTTCTTCAAAAAAGCACAAGAGAAAGTAATGGAAGGGCAATAGAACACAGACCAAGAAAAAGCAACTATTTCCACCAAGCAAACATCAACCAGTGTAAATATATAAAATCATAACATTGAGGTAGAAAAAGGAACACAAACCAAATATAGTGTTTGCAGGGTTTTGAGTACTTTGGTTCTTGGCAGCATCACCAATAAGGTGGTGGTTATCAGTAAAAGCAACATAAGATGGTGTTTTCCGGTTGCCCTGATCGTTGACTATAATCTCAACTTTACCATGCTGCCATACTGCCACACGTGAGAATCTAGCCCCCAGATCAATTCCAATTGCTGGCCAGCCCCAATTTTTCACCATTTTTTATAAAGTAGGTCTCCTAACAGCTTAACCTGAAGATAAACAGAATATCCATAGACATTTAAATGATATAACACATAGATAGACAGACCTTGTTCAAAGTATCATATGGAATTACGGAGTAGTAAATTTTGAAAAACTCTACTAGCACTAATAAGATAACATGGTTTAAATGGCTCAAAATGGCTAAATTTAAATCATGTGAATGATATGATATATCCAATACTATATTAAGGGTGTATCTATTTTACTTCATTCAATTCAAGTATTCAACACAATTAATTTGGAGCCACTATAGTTAATTATTTGAAAAACGTCACACTTAGGGGGCGTTTGGTTAGTGTATTTTTTGGCTTAGAAATGGATTCGATTAAATTGATACTGTTACCGTGTGTTTGGTTTGAAGGCATGGTAACAATTACTATGGTAATGGTTACCCTTCATTTGTTACCTCTCAAAAACTTTGACAAATACCCTTTTCATGGTTAAACCAAACAAATGAAAAGGTAATAGCTAAATGATTCCTTTCTCCCTCTTATTTATTTCCTTTCCACTCCATTTCCATTTCCATTCTCCGAACCAAACGCCCCCTTAATGGATTTTAATTAATATAAAATCGTAGTATTACACTACATCTGAAGAAAATGAACAAATTAATTAAACTATTAAAAACGGGAAAATGTAAAAAGTTTTCGTAAAAACAAACAGATCCTTAGTCATTTTATGAACTTATTAGCCCTAAATTTGAAGTAAAAGTTGTGAATTGTAATTTGAGTTCCCTTACCTAAATCTTACTTGAACATTCATAAAGATACAAAATTTCGAGCTTATGTTTCCTTAAATGAAATCTATTTCAAGTTTAATCAAAAGTACAACGCCTAAACAAGAGCAAATAATCAATTAACCCCATCACACCAAATCAATAAATCCAACAAAACCATAAAACTTAAAGAAAAAAAAAAGGAGAACTTTAAGCAATAAGCATAGACTAGTCTAGAAATAAACGCTAAGAATTAAGACTTATGAATAATTTACAAGAAATGATAATAAATTTACCTGAAGAGTGAAGATGAGCAAAGTTGCAATTCTGCAAAGTTGTTGAATCCAGAATTTGAAAAGGTTTTGGCTTTTATATTTATGCCTCTGTTCTTAGGCTTCCTGACTTTTTATTTTTAAAATCTGTGTTTTTTTTTTTTTTTTTGGGAAATTCTCAATAGTAGCTATGTACTTTTGCTCATTCTCAATGGTAACAAAATATTTTGCAAATTCTCCCAAATAGCATTACTTTTTATAAGATTCCCTAACATGGCAATAGTTGTATAATTTGCAAGTAATTAGCTTAAAAAAACAAGAATTAGCCTAATAATTAAAAGAAAAAAAGATATTTTTAAAAAATGGGACTAAAACCCTTCGCCAAGCAGCCACCTCCACGGCATCTGCTAGCCCACCGCCGGAAACCTAAATACCCGGCATAGCTATCCCGAAAACACCTTGTTCTCCCAAAAACCCACCCGAAACAACTTCGTTCTCCGCGAAACCCACCCATAGCCACCTCACCATTCTCTTTGAAACACATCCATAACCTCCTTAATCTCCCCGAAACCCTCTCAATGTCCATCTCAAAACCCACCCCGATTCCCGAAATTATATGGTTCAGCTTAAAACCCTGATTTTCATTATTTTGAGGGGTGGGATATTGTGGGTTTCGTGTAGCCGATGGGGTTGAGGCAGGGTTGACTGAGAGGGCATAAGGACGAGGAAGAGGAGGTGGGCAGATGTAGTCCGGCAGTCATGGTTGATTATATATGGAGGTGGAAGTGGAAAGGAAAGGGAAGGGGAAGGCATTTTTTTTTTAATTAAGCATTTTTTTTTTTTGTTATTTATTAGTTTAATTTTGGTTTAATTAAGTTAATTAGTTAATAATTGTAAAAATATTGTTATGTTAGAGAAACTTTTAAAAAATAATGCTATTTGGAGAATTTGTCAAATATTTTGTTACCATTGAGAATGAGCAAAAGTATATGACTACCATTGAGAATTTCCCTTTTTTTTTTTTTTAAGCTGTCTCTTCATTTCTCTACACGTCACCAATGCTTTGTAGATGATCACATTTACTAAAATGAGTTGAATTAAACTAAAATGATTGGAGTTGAATTTAATTGAACGGATTGGAACTGAACTGAACTGAACTACCCGCTCCTTTTTTTTTTTTTTTTTTTTTTTAAGTTTTACAGTTTGACCTGTACATAATTTTAGACAATTTAAATGACTTGAATAAAATAAGAGGTAAGTGGAGTACTTAAAAACAGCGGAGCTGATAGTTTATTGAAAAGTAATGAATGTGAGAGAAAATATATAATAATAAAAAAAAGTAGTAGTGGGTTTGGATGGGTACCACAAAAGGAGAGAGATATGCTATTTTGATACGAGTATAGTCTTTTGCCATAAAAAAAGTGTAACACTTATTAAAACACGACTGAATTTGCTAAGTGAAACACTTATTAAAACACGACCGAATTTGCTAAGTGAAACACTTATTAAAACACGGAGAGAGTAAATTGAACTGAATAGAGCTTAAATGAATATTTTACGAGAGAAGGAAATTAGGATATGAACTGAACTAATTGGAGCTGAACTTAACTGAACTGATTGGAGCTGAACTAAACTAAACTGAAGTGAACTCAAATTAAGTTGAAGTGTACAAGCCCTTAAGGCTTGTTTTGATTAACTGAACTGAGCTGAACTGAAATGAAATAAACTAAACTGAGTTGAAATGAATTGTTTATGAAAGAAGAAAATTAAGAGTTGAATTGAACTGATTGGAGCTAAACTGAAATTAAGAATAGACCCTTAGTTTCGTTTATAATCACGTTGTTTCATATTTACAACAGTACGGAGTATTGGGTTACAAATTTACAATACATGCGTATTAATTGTTTATTATTATTATTATTATTATTATTATTATTATTATTATTATTATTTTTAACATAATATGGTTCTTTATGATTATTGATGTTAGTCAATCCAAAATTATTTGGAATAATTAAGACTTTGTTGTTGTAGTTGTATTCATATATACATGTGTTTTTTTTACACAATTTTTTGTATGCGACCTGTTATATCATGCGGTAGGAGCTACTTGGTCAATAAGTAACCCTTGATCGAGTAAGTCGAGTAACCCCTAACCAAGTAACCCCTCGAATAGTACATGACTGAACCCCTCGAGTAACTACACAATTTTTTGTATGCGACCTGTTATATCATGCGGTAGGAGCTACTTGGTCAATAAGTAACCCTTGATCGAGTAAGTCGAGTAACCCCTAACCAAGTAACCCCTCGAATAGTACATGACTGAACCCCTTGAGTAACCCCTAATCGAGTAACCCATGATCGATTAACCCATGCTCGAGTAATCCCTGATCCTTCAGAGGTTAGTAACCCACTGACCCCTGACTAAGTAACCCCTGACTGAGCCCTCGAGTAAGCCCTGACCGAACTCCTTACGTAACCCTTGACTGAACTACTTGAGTAACCCTTTACTAAACTCCTTAAAAAAAACCTTGATCGAGTTAACTCGAGTAACCCATGTCCGAGTAACTCGAGTACCGAGTAGCTCGAGTAACCTCTCAAGTAACCCTTGACCGAGAGAACTCCTCGAGTAACTCATGTCCGAACCCCTCAAGTAAACCCTGACTGAGTAATTTGAGTAACTTCTGACTAGTTTCAAAATAATTCAGGTAATCCCTACCACACGGTGTGGCTCGCTGAATCACAAAGTTGTTATTTTTTATAGGTTATTTTAGATTTTAACACCTGCTAAAAACCCGAAAATGGTTTTTAACACCTCCAAAAAAAAAATGATTTTAACACCACCCAAATTTCAAAAAATGGGTATTATCACCACGTAACTGATTCCGTTTACAAATCCGTTAAGTAGGGCCATATAGACACGTGTCGCTTTGTTATTGGCCAAAAAAATAAAAAAATAATAAAAAATTAAAAAACAAAAAATAAAAATTTTAAAAATTTTTTTTTTAAAAAATAAAAAAACCTAAAACTACCCCAGCCACCCCAGCCCCACCCACCGCGCCACCACCGGCGTCCCCAAACCCACCCCCTGCCGGCGTCCGGCGTCCCAGAGAATCGCCCGGCGCCGGCGACCCCACCCCCACCACCCTTTCCTCCACCTACGCACCCCACCCCTTCCCTTTCCCCATTTTCATTTCTCGGCCCACCACCCCGAAACCACCCTAAACGCCCCCTCCCCCGGAAAACGCCCCTCCTCACCCGGAAACGCCCTCCCTCTCATTTCCCCCTCCCTTAATCGATTCCCTACCACCCCAAACGAAACCCTAAAACCCGTTTAGGATGGTTTCGGGGTTGTGGGTCGGAAACGAAAATGGGGAAAGGGAAGGGGTGGGGTGCGTAGGTGGAGGAAAGGGTGGTGGGGGTGGGGTCACCGGCACCAGGCGATTCACTGGGACGCCGGACGCCGAAAGGGGGTGGGTTTGGGGACGCTGGTGGTGGCGCGATGGGTGGGGCTGGGGTAGTTTTAGGTTTTTAATTTTTTTTTAATTTTTTTTAAACAAATAAAATAGTGACACGTGTCACTGTGGACCACATTTAACGGAATTTTTTAACTGAAACCGTTAAGTGATGGTAATACCAATTTTTTAAAAATTTGTATGGTGTTAATACTTATTTTTTTTGGAGGTGTTAAAAACCATTTTCGTGTTTTTAGCAGGTGTTAAAATCTAAAAAAACCTTTTTTATATTGTTATTATTTTTGAATTTTTGCGGTGCAAATTAATTGTAAAATTCTTCATTGCCTCTAACTCTCTAAGGGCTTATTTCCACTTTGGCCATTAAAATAGTCAATATAAATATGTAATATAATAGGACTAACACCAACATTTAAAGTTCGAACAAGTATTCTGCATATTCTACCTCCGTTACAGGTTATGTATAACGATTGGATATTTTCCCTCTCTACTTTATGTCAAATCGTTACACATACATAACCTGTAACGGAGATAATATATATATATATATATATATATATATATATATATATATATATATATTATAAAAACCGATTAATGCCTTTTATTAATTAATGGACAATTTATTCATAAGAACTTAAGAAGATACGGAGTACATCTGTAGGACAATGATTTTCCTACACTTGTTCCACACCAAATGACACTAATCTAGCAAGGTGATGAGCGACGGAGTTCCCATCCCTTCTAACATGAGACAATGAGACAAATTCGAGGTCTTTACAAAGAAAAAAACAAATCATCTAAAATAAAGTCTAAACATTATCTTTGTATATGTATGTGTCATTATTCATGAAAAACTTATTTTGTCAAAATTGCTTATGACATATATAGAGTAATTTTTTTTTCATTACTGCTCTGTATTTTTTTTTCCTTTCAATTGCAAAGATTGGGAAAATAATTTTTAAAACAAATACAAGTGTAAATATCAATCAGCCTAATACATTTTCTCTATAATTTATTTTTAAAAAAACCTCTTTTACATGAGCTGTACAAAAAACTCAAATTTGTTGCAAAATGATCACTCAATATTATTCTTATGAATTGGTACTAATAAACTTAAATTATCAAATATATTATGAGCCAAAAAATAAAGTACCAAACAAAACTTGGTGGATTTATCTAAATCAAAATTGTATCACTTTAGGAAAACATAAAAATAATAATGAAATACGCTTCTTCCCCATCAAAAACAATGAGTAGAATTCTTTAAACCTCATAATTATAAATTCTTGTAAGGTAACAAATCTAATACGGAGTAATAACATGACAAATTGGCAACAATAGATATCGTTTGAGCATAGTATTTTTGGGGGGAAATTCCCTGTTTCTCATGGTGAGAAACGAAATTTGTTTTTTATGGGGGCATTTTCGTGAATAAATCAACAACTTTTTTATTATTGTGGGCTCCATAGTTGAATAAAGTTGTTGGTTTATTTACGAAAATGTCATGTGAGAAACAAAATTTGTTTCTCTCGTATTTTTGGTGAGGAATTGAATGGGGATTAGGAACTTGTCGATTCATCAACTCTTGAAGATAAAGATTAGCCATTTATTGAGCAATTCTTTGCATTTTTTAAAATATCTCAAAAGTACCTCTACATTGCAATTTTTTTTTTTTTTTTTTTTTTGACGGGACATTGCAATAATTACCAATAAAATAAGTGTTCAAAATTCTAACAGAGCTATACTGCTTGTTTGCAACTAGACCAGCAGCAATTACCACCAAAATAAACTTCTGCTAAGAAAAACCTTGAAAACATACTCAAGCACCTTCCATCTATCCCATACCAAAAAACTTCAGAAACCTTGAGACTCCAGGCCATCCATCAAATTTCTTTCTAGCAACCGTCCTCTCGAGTTTATCGGAACAAGTAGTGTCATCTTTAGGTTTAGATGCTTCGGCAATTATGGGCTCACAGATGACTTGAAGTTCATTCATCTTTTCTTCAAAATTGGAAGCTTCAGGTAGCTGAAAATTCCAATCTAGCCATTGAATTGTCTTAACAATGGCATTTTTCATCTTCATTTTATCCTCAAAACTAATCTTCTTTGCATAATCTCCCAATGTATCCCACATTTTGTTAGCATAATTCTCCAAATCATTCTTAGCCTTCACTTTCTTTAAGTATTTCTCATCCTCAGCCCTGTACTTTTCAGCTTCTTCCAACAATTTATTAACCTGCTCCTCAGATAATCTACTACGATTAGTAATGGTGATCTGGTTCTTGTTCCCGGTATCAATGTCCTCTGCGGAAGCAGTAAGGATCCCATCAGCATCGATCTCAAACCAAACGTCCAATTTTGGAACATTTTTCGGTGCAGGAGGAATGCCAGAAAGCAAAAATCTCCCCAGAAAGTTATTGTCTTTAGTAGATAGTCTCTCACCTTCATATACTCGAAATGACACGTCAGTTTGATTGTCGTCAGCAGTAGTAACTCTGCCAACCTTCTTTGTTGGGACGACAGTGTTACGAGGGACAATTACTTTCATAACATCACCACGGAGCTCAACACCAAGCGATAAAGGAGCAACATCAACAAGCACCACATCTTTCTTA